CTCCAAGTATCTTTCCATTTCTTGCATACTCTGATGCAACATCGATAATCGTCAAAATCAAGGTAAACGAGTATTTCACAGACCAGCTCTTGTGGGAGATCGTGAAGGCCGCTCAGTTCGATGTTTGTTGCCTCGATCTTCTTGCGAAGGAATAGGATGTCCCATGGCGTGAGTTCGTCGAAGAAGCTGTTGAGTTCCTCTTGTCGTGAATTCAGTGCTCTCATCGCTTCTTTCAAGACCACAATATATTAATATTAGTGCATAAGTAGAAATTAAATGATTTTAAAAATGTGTTATGACCATGATGTAGATGTGTTGAATGTCGGATTATTTGTTGCTGTTTCAAAATGCACTAGAGCGTGAGGTGGCAGCATGAGGCATGTCAGCACGCAGAGGGATCATGTGACTATCGAATACCAAAATGATCGAACAGGAAGAAATGCATCCTAACACCCGCTGTGGCCCAATTCCAAATCCTTTCTAAGGAATGACTGATCAATAGACGTGATTAGTATCCTCGTACAAAGTTTTTGGTTCGAGACGTCAACAGGAAATCTAGTGACTTTCTCGCTTCCAACGTGGCCTACCCTATACCTGAGCGCAGATCGAACAGACGAAGCACCTGTAACTCTACCATGATAGACGATGTAACTTGATCATGTTATAAAAGTTCAAACATATCCCCGGTCCTTTGCTACCAGTATCGCCTCAAACTAACACCAGTAGATCGGTGTTGCTGCTTTTACAGCCCTCACGTTGGTTACCAGAGTTGACTGCTCACAGCATGAGAGAAGAGGTCAGTGGTTTTATGCGAACCTGGACAAGCGGTTGAGAACAATTTGTTTGAGTATCCTAATGGAGGGTAATCACTCTACGCAATACAGAATTTGTTGATTATTGCGATCATGATTCACTCGCGATTGATAAGATTGATAACAAACTAAATGCGACTCTGACTGTGTCCGGAATTTTGTCCAACCGGTTTCGGAGAGGAATTGTGGGGTATATTCGGAGCATGACCCCATGACGTGGGATCGCGATGGAGCCTCGGTTGACGTGATTCATAGTATACCCTGTCGATAGATTCCTTCAACATGATTCCGACCTAAATCTCTTCTCTTCAACTCCTACAGCATCTCTAAGCCATGTCGTCTCCCGCCCGCGACGACGCCCAGGCTTCGCGCCTCGATGCCGATCAAATGTCCACGCGCAGCTCAGTCTACGCCTCAGACAACGACACGGATTCTACCGAGACACGCATCCAGCGCAATAAAGAAAAACAAACTGTTCGACTCATCGCCTTCATTTCGGCCAATATTATCGCCCTCGCTTGCGGTTCCATCGTCGTATTCTCCCTCTACGCGCCTCTTCTACAGTCCCGTCTACACTATTCTCAGTTCCAGGTCAACGCTGTAGCCATCGCAGGCTCTGTCGCCTTGTACCTTCCTATTTCGGGCGTCGGATATATATGTGATCGCGTTGGTCTAAAACCGCTTGCACTCGCAGGAGGAATCCTGTTCGGCAGCGGTTATGGAATTGCAGCGGGTGTATATAGGAAGTTGGACTTGGAGTACCGCAGTCATCCTGGATATCGGGTTAATGGCGACTGGTCGCTTCCATTCTTGATGTTCTCGTTTGTCTGCGTTGGTGTGGCGACTTGCTGTCTTTACATGGCTGCTGTGTCGTCGTGCGCAAAGAACTTTGGAAAAGGTCGATACAGAGGTTTGGCGCTCGCTACACCGATTACTTGTTTTGGGCTGAGTCCCATGTGGCTGAGTCAAGCGGGAACCCGACTGTTCTCCGAGCCGCGATCAGACGGTGGGAGGGGCGATTTGGATGTATACCGCTATTTCATCTTCCTCGCTATCCTCACCTTTTCCATGGGTATTCTTGGTACCTTTACACTGCGTATTGTAGATGAAGATGAGCTTATTGATGAGGCTATCGAGGAGCTGGAACAGAGCGGACTGCTGGACGGTAGCTCTTTGCTCAGCCGGACCGAGCGGAACTATGGTGCAACTGGTGAAGAAACAGAGACCTCGGCACTACTTGAAGCATCGAAAGATGAAGCCAAGTGGAAGAAGAACTGGGTTCTCAACGCTGAAACGCGTTCCTTCCTTGCTGACCGCACGATGTGGCCATTTGCCCTCGCTTTCTTGCTCATCGTTGGACCAGGCGAGGCTTTTATAAACAACCTTGGTACGATCATCGGGACGCTTACGCCGCCAGAAATGGAGGGCTTGAGTCATCGTACTTCTGCGGCGACACATGTGTCTATCTTTGGTGTAACCAACACTGCTTCGCGAATCTTCATTGGTACTCTGACAGATTTACTGGCACCCTATCCCCAGACACAGCATGTTCAAGGGCCACAGACTCGTTCGGCAGTGAGCAGCCGCTTCTCCATTTCCCGAGTCGCATTCATGGCATTTTTCGCCAGCATGCTTTCCATTGGCCTTCTCATTCTCGCCTCAGGTCTGGTACAGAACCATGCTGAGCGCTTCTGGCTTGTCTCTGGTCTTGTTGGCGCAGGTTATGGAGCTATCTTTAGTCTTACACCTCTCATTGTGACGATTATCTGGGGCGTTGAGAACTTCGCTACCAACTTTGGCATCATTGGCATGCTTCCCGCTGCCGGATCAACATTTTGGGGACTCGTCTACTCAGCAACGTACCAGAACGGAGCCAACAACTCAAAGGCCGCGCCTGGTGGTGAAGACCGGGGCGATTTGTTCTGCTACGGAGAGCAGTGTTATGCTCCGACGTACTGGGCTGAGACCATTACAGTGTGGGTTGCAGTTGGATTATTGCTCTGGGCTTGGAAGGGCAGAGGCGGTTGGGCGCAGCGTGGAATCATCATCTAGTCTTGCATTGTTATGGCGTTTGGATAGATCGTACAGCATACGTGGGTAGGGCGTACATGATTTAGCCGCGAATCTTGGCATAGCATAGGTTACTTTAGTTTTGTTGATATCGCCATTTCAATATTATAGCGCTCTTTTAGTCCGCCATGTTCCTGTCACTTGAGCTCTCTATCCCTGCTGGCTATCTACTTGTAAACATAGAGTAACAAATTAAACAGCCTACCGAAAGGACTAAACTCACATAAAGTGACGAAACTATTTCGTCTCAGCGGTTGTTGACAGTTATTGTCAAAGCTCCTACATGCATCCGCAGCTTACCCCGGATTTTAGACCTGCGCCAAGGCACCCACCCTGACACATACACTATCAAGCAAGTTTCCCGCGGACAACTCCAACCATTCCCCTCACTTGATAAGGCTATCGCGACTCTCGGTGCTCAAGCTTAGTCCCCGATCAGCCACCACGGATCCCAAATCAACTACCGTAGTGCTGAACTCTACTCCCTGCAGTTCCCACTTCATTATGGTAGATCGCACAACTGGGTATCCTGCAGGGGAAGTGATAGGGAATTGGTGGTTCGGGGAACTGGGATTTGCCCGGGGTGATCTGAAGCAAAGTAATTCGTCCGCGGATGCTTATCATGATAAATAGTTCTTGGTATGTTCTTGATATCTCGTGATAGTGCTATCGGTATACTAACATGGCTGAACCAGTACAGCGTTCGAAAGGCGTTTCGCTAACGTGGTTGGCTGCGCTGCCCGTCATTCTCGCAGCTGCGTTTACAGCGTATCCTAATGGATTTGGTAGATCGGGCCCAGAGCCTGCGCCTTCGGTAACGATTAAGCAGGGACATATTATCGGAAAGTTTGTTGATGATGGGACATTTCCTGAGCCGTTGGAGGGGTTCTTGGGGATTCCGTATGCGGTTCCTCCTGTTGGAGAGAAGAGGTTCCGACATGCCGAGCCTGTAGGGGCGAGTAATGAGACGATTGAAGCCTATTACCTGGGACCTAGGTATGTTCCTACGGGAATGTATGGATTGTGCTAACAGTTGAAGATGCCCTGGGAAACAACTCGTTCCTTTCCTGAAAGATCCCATTCTTGGACCAGATTATGAATCAGAGGATTGTCTAACCATCAACATCTGGCGCAAGAAGGGTCATTCTCCCGCCAAGGGGAAATTGCCAGTCGCAGTCCTGATTCCAGGCGGTGCCTTCAATCGCGGTGCAGCAAGGATGCATAATTCGCATACCATGCTTGCTTTCTCGGAAGAGCCGTACATCGCTGTTAGTATGCAATACCGCATTGGCGTGTTTGGCGGACTGAACACAGACTTGACTGCCAAAGAAGGCCTCTTGAACCTGGGGTTGAAGGATATGTATGTTGCGCTTGAGTGGGTGCAGGAGAATATCGGGGCGTTTGGGGGTGATCCCAATGATGTTACCATCATGGGTTTGAGCGCTGCTGCTCACGGTGTAAGTGCCTCCTCCCCTGAGATACAGAAGAAGGTCGCTGATAATAGCAGATCGGACATCTTATCATGGATATCAACCAGCCGAAAAAGCTCTTCCACAAAGCGATAATGGACTCAGGCGCTCATACAGCGCGCGCAGTTCATCCGCCAGATGCTACTCTCAACACACAACACTTTCGCGAACTCCTCGATTTAACACCCTGCTCCCACTTTAAGGACCTCAAAGACCCCAAGATTTTGACTTGTCTACGCAGCCTTACCTCCGAAACGGTAGACAACGCAGGGAAAGAAGTATTTGCCCGCTCAGACCCTTCAATCCGCTGGGCGTGGCAACCCGTTATCGACAACGACATCATCTCACGCCGCCCGATTGAAGCATGGGAGTCTGGAAAGTTCCACAGGGTTCCCATCCTCACTGGCTCTGCTGCGAACGAAGGCGCTTATTATGTACCGCTGAAAGCCGATAAGGCCGAGGAGTTTACGGGTTTCTTTAAGAGCCTACTGCCGCATCTTACCAAGTCTGAAGTCGAGGAGCTTGAGAAATTGTATCCTGATCCTTCTACACATCCTGACTCACCACATACCGATACAAGGGGTATACCGGGTGTCGGGTCGCAGTATAAACGCCTCGAAACTGCTTACGGACACTACGCGTATACATGTCCTGTTCGACAAACAGTTATGTGGGCAACATACCACGACAACGCGCAACCGGCATATTTATATCACTGGGCTTTGAACAAAACTGCTTTGTTCGGCGCTAACCATGGCGATCAAATGCGTTATCAGACTTTTAACAGAGAAGTCCGAGAGATCTCACCCGCGCAGAGGGAAGTTTCCGGAAATTTCCACGCCTACTGCACGAGCTTTATCACAAAGGGTGATCCGAATAGTAACAAGGGGAAATTTAAGAACAGGCCAGAGTGGACATCCTTTGAGAATGGTAAGGGAAAGACGATGTTACTCGGACGCGGGAATGATGAACGGGCTGGGGGTACTGGGGTCGGGAAGGCGGCTGAGCTGGTGGACTTTACGTGGGGAGATGAGCAATGTGAGTTTTGGTGGAGGGTTTCTAGTAAATGGGAGGACTAGACACACCAATTGAATATCTCACTTTATTATACTATTCTGTTCTGTCTTATCTATGACTATGGGGTGGCATGTGTGTCCGGAGAAACAATAACTGGACCCAGTCCTCGGCCTTTACTCCGATGTGCCAAGAAAGACACCGTCTAGGTACTAAACCCAGGGTTGACCTGACTAGCATGTCTTGCAGACCAGCATATTCATTCAGCGGAACCCATTTACGTAAAAGTACAATATCTAAGTGGGATACCCCGGATTTGTGAGCGGATTGCCGGGTGTTCACTGGCAAAGTCTGGGGTTGAGTCCGGGGTTCACAACAGTAGACACAAGAACGGATAAGGTATCAACGCTTGAATAAGCCCAATTGCTAACTACATGACATCATAACATAATATAACCCAACACTAACTTAGTACGAGTATCGGAAGTTGGGGTTCTCAAAATCGGTAAGATCCTGCAACGCGGCATTCTCATCCTCAATGACAGGTCCCTTCTCATCACGGAGACGGTTGCGGCGAATGAGCACAAAACGCAAGATAATCGCGAGGACAACTTGGCCTGCGACACAACCGATGATGAGCTTGCAGCCAGTTTGGTAGATGGGCGCTTCAGAGCCAATGAAGCCATGGGGACCGATGATGTTGCCGATACAGTATGCCAGGAAGACGAAGGCTGTGGCAGTGGTTCGCTTGGTGTAGCCACCGACGTTCGAGGCGGGCATTTGAAGGGCGACGATGAGAGCGCCAACGAAGGATGCGCACTGAGATGTTGGTTAGTACATTCCTGAGAAGCTGAGGTAGGAGAGGGACTTACCATGTAGTATCCAGCGAGGAGACCGCCCTTGTTGGTTCGGGGAAGTTGCCAGAAGAGATTCACAGCAATCAGTGTGGGCAGAAGCCAAACGCACATAACAATTGTGCGGACATTCTTGAATTTGGATGCCGCGTAAGGACCCGTGAACATGAAAATAGCATTGCAAGCACCGTAGGGGATACCGTAGGCCGTAGTAAGCAGCGCATCATGAGTAAAGCCCTTGACGATAAGCTTGGAGAAGTTGGCAATGCCACCATTGATAATCTCATTGAGGAGGACAAAGAAGAACAATAGCCAGATCTGCGCATCCACGAAGACCTCGCGGATCTGATTCCACTTGATCTTTCGGTTGAACACACCAGTCTTGTTCCTCGCGCTCTGCGCAATAAGCATAGCCCGCTCCTCAATAGTGTACCGCTTAGCAGTCAGGATGTTGTTCGGCAGGAAGAAGAACAGCACGATGCCCCAGCAAATGGTCAGTCCGCCGCAGAGCACGTAAATTGTGCGCCACACATCCCAGCCCTTGGCCTGGCCGACGCCAAAGAACATGATTCCGCCGAACATGGCGCCGAAGCCGTTGAAGCAGTAGAACAGACCTGCACGGGAGGGCTGAGTCTCGCGACGGAACCATTGCGATACGATGAGCATGAATGCGGGGGTGATGACGGCTTCGAAGGCACCGAGGAGGAAGCGGCAGATGGCGAGACCGGTGAAGTTGTTGCATGCGGCGGTGAGGCAGAGAATGGAGCCCCAGATGATAACAAAGCTGCTTACGACTGTGCCGGTAGGCAATGTCTGGGTGAGGTAGGATGCTGGCCATTCGGCGACTAAGTAGGCGAAGTAAAAGATTGATGCCATCCATGAGTATTCATCCGGTGTCATGCCCGTTGTTGTGAAGAGGTCGAAGACGGCTGAGTAGCCGAGAGCTTGCTTGTCGACGTACTGGAGGAGGTAGGTACCGCAAAGAAGAGGCATGAGAGTCCAATCGACTTTTCTGCGGAGTTTCTTGAGAGCTGCCTCATCGGACATGAGTTCATTCAGACGAGAGTGCGGGATGCCATGTTGTTGAAGGAAGAGCTCTGCTTCATCAAGGTCTGTGATGGTACCGGGCTTGATATCTGCCTCTGGGTCTTCATTGTCGAAGGGTTGGATCTTCTTGACGTCCTCTGTATCTTGAATCTTAGTGTCTGCCATGATGAAGGATGAGGATGAGCAGAGACCTGGTCATTGTGGAAACTCAGAGGGCGAAAAGGCGCCTTTTTGAACTTGTGAACCTCAAGGGGCGATAGCAGCGACTCATGCTTGACCCTCGTCTCTGGGATCCGGGGAAGCGCTAGGGTAGTGGATACGACATTGATAAGTGCAGTGGAGAAGGGATAAGTTACCTAGATACCACTAGCCATGGATGCGGGGAATGACCTGACCTGAGGGCGTGTGTTATCGTGGGAGCGAAACGGGACATGTTTGCCGAGTTGGGTGGTTGGCGTGGTTTGTTTTCCGCGGGAAAGTTGATAGCACTACTGTATGTAGCAGCGATTGCGGAGACCAGAATTTGGATGCGAAGATAGGATGGCATCATAAAGATAGTATCAGCTTGGCAGTTGATATCGAGATAGAGAATTATAGCTTGATTCAAGAATCAGATGATTAGATAGTGGCTTGGGATGCGTCATGATTGAATGGTTTCGGCATAATGACATTCGGTGCTTGTAGGTGAGGAGTTGTCAAGGATCGAGGGACTTGACAGGGTTAGAGAGAAAAGTCTCAGAATAATTGACCATAGGTACAGAGATGGTCCCTTGTTAGGTAGTGT